TGTTTGCATTAGAAAATGAAAATGCTGCCCAAACTTAATTAGTGATGTTACAATGGAGTGAGTTCAACAGAGGTCTTTTATCCACTTTTGGAGAAGCAGACTGGTTACCCTATGCATGGCCAAATATTGAGGTTGATGCAGTCTAATATTTCTACCAGTGGCTTGAACACTCCTTAGGTATGATGGTGGCAGCTACAGGATGACATCTTTTGAAAAGGATTGTACGAATGTATTATACTATTCAAAAGCTGCAATAAGTGCCCTGATGGCTTCACTGTAAGCCATTTTAGAACAACTCGCCTGCCTCTCCTGCACCAGTTGCAGACACTTAGCCAACAGGACATTTAGCTGACATAGACATTTAGCCAACACGGACATTTAGCCGATAGGATATTTAACCATTCAACCAACATTTAGCAACATTTCAATCAACAGCATGTTTAGCTGTCAGTGTGTACAGGTAGACGAAACTATATGCAACAATATTTTAGTAAAATTTGTGCATATTTATCTGACAAAAGTTTCTTTCCAGGATGCATAATGAGAAAATTTATACCCAAGTACCACATTTTTGGCTTTATTTAATGCTAAAAACACTAGAGATTTCAAAATTAGACAGAAAACTAGCTTAATTTCAGCATAGATTTTGAAATCAATTTTGAGAGCAGTCAGACCTAAGTGTCCTTATTTCAGAAGGAAGAAAGAAAATTTCAGCAGTTGGAGAATGAATCAATGTGCAAAGAAATGAACAGAGTAAAACAAAAATAAATGTAATGTGATCTGCTGAGGAACATAGTAATGAAATGTGAACAATACTAAGGTATTAGAATTTGAAAAACGCTGAAAAATTAATGTCATTAAGTGAAAAGAATTTTTGTTAATGTGGAAGGGTTCAAAGAAATCTAATTTACTGATTGAAGAAGCTTTGCAGATAATTTTTGTGGATCAAAAGCCAAAATTGTGTTTAGCTGTGAAAATTTTGTTTATATCTCTCTTTTGAACATATGATTCATGTTCCCTGTCGAGAAAGTTCCTCTTTCAATTTAGCCAATATATCTGAAAGCAAATTTACATAATAAATTAAAATCAGAAATGGGATCTTTAAGAATTGAACAACAAATTTTAGTGATGATTTCAAAAATAACCTGTGAATTTGTGGAGAATCTGAGCTTCAAATTCTAATATCTTAACATACCAGCATCAATGTCTTTGCACTTACGCCACATAAAATTCAATAGTAAAATCCTAAAAGTTTTAAAAGCACTATATTTTTAGAATTTCTGGTAGAATGTTAATTGCTGCCACTTTTTTTTTCAGTCTTTTCAATGTCCAGTTCTCTTAGTAAGACAATGCTTTAAAATGAACATACTGGTTTTAATATCATGTAGACATTAAAATTTTAGACAGTCATATTTACCATTATATTTATTTTCCCAAATTTCGCATATCATGTCTTTTATATCTGCTGCTGATGTTACTCTACCTGCCTTTCAGTTAGTCATAAGATCATCCCCTCTGTGCACATTTAGCCCTTATTTTCTGTTTTTGCATTCAATTTTTTATGTAGGTGATAGCTAAATGGTTCTGATTCTGCGGCTTGTGAAGCAGAAAGTTGTCAGATTGAAACCAGTAGACTTTTTTTTATTGCCTGCTATATTTAAATTATCAATCTCTACACAGTTATTACACTCATAGTGCATTTTCTTGATATCAAAATACGCATTTAACTTTTTAATTTATATTTCTATTTAGATATTTTTATTGAAATATCACCCCTCTATAAGCTTATTACCTTCTTTTCCTATTAAGACTTTTAATACTTGCCGGTTGCCATCTTTTATTCAAATCATCAACATTTTGCACATTTATTACACTTCAAATATATTTCATTTGTGTGAGATTAAGATTCAGCTTTTAAACTTAGTTAAGTTTTACCACTTCTGAATGAGTTTAAAAACTAAGTTATGTGAATTTCAACTTATATATCTGCATCTAAGTTGAAAATTGAATGAAAGAATTTCAAAATAGGGGGTCAGCTTATACACCGAAACTGAAAAAAGATCTGCGATAGCGCTTCCACTGATCAACAATGCGTCGCTGATCTTCATTATTAAATATAGCATTCATTCAGGAAAAACACACAATTTTAAATTTATCCGCCCCCTTTTTCTGGTATCTTTCCCAGAACTGGAAAAAGTGACTTGATTCTAGACCAAAGATGCCAAGATCATGTCATAACCTGAACTGCGGTATGTTTATGAGCGATGAAATTCAAGGATTAAAAATTTGCTCCTGTAAATAACTCTTTTAATGCATCACAACATTGGTGCACGAGATTCATGAATTGTTATGGACTATGTTTATGACAACATACCAAAATTTTACAGAACTTGCAGAGTCACCTCAAGAGAAATTAATAAACTTTTGAAAGAATGATTGGAAAAAGAAAAATAACTAATTTTGAAATGTCTCAAAAAAAAAAAAAAAAAAAAACATGGATGAAACCTCATGACTTTTGATCTTCCTAAAAATTTCACTGTTGATAAAAAGAATGAAAAACAGCTCATGTAAAAATGACTGGTCATGAGAAAGCTTGTTTCGAAGTTCTTCTTACTGTTTAGCAAATACCAATAAGTTGCCTCCGATGATTATTTTGAAATGCAAAATGTTAGCGTAAAAGACAGCGTATCTGTTAGGTGTTCTTGTTTGTGATTAGAACAATGGTTGGATGGATGAAACCCTAATGATTGACTGGTTTCAAAATGTATGGTGTGAAAAACCAGGTGCACTTTTAGAGAAACCTTCCCTTTTCATTTAGGATATGTTTCGATCACATCATTCAGAAGTGGTAAAAAAAAGATGCAGAAAGTTTAAAAGCAATGCTTTCTGTGATCCCAGAAGGGCTGGCATCCATTTTACAACCATTGGGTGTCAACGTAAATAAGCCATTCAAGGTGAATAGTATTGGGGCCCACCAGCGGCTGAGCGGTAAAGTCACTGAACACTGGTAGTTCGGTCCGAGGTTCGAATCCCGCGAACAGGCTGGCTGCATGGGTGTTTTCGTGGTTTTCCCCATGTGTAACGTGTATACGAGCCAGTTTCCCTTAGAAAGTCCTCCACAAAGGCATCCTCCCCCTTAGGCAGATAGCCCTAGTGTGCTTTGCCATAATTAAATACACCAACACCACAATTATTGGACAAAATGGATACAATCTGATTTGTCTCCTGAAACCAAAGGTGGCACTATTAGAAAGCTGGACATAACTTTAATTGGACGATGGGTGAAAGAAGCTGAGGGCATAATTCCTGCTGAAATGATAATCAAATCATTCAAAAAGTGTTGCATTTGCAATAACTTGGATGGCACAGAAGGTGATGCATTTTATCCAAGTGATGATAGCGACACTAGCTGTGACAAATCAAGTTATGAAATTTATAACAACTTGCCAATGACTGAAAAAGACTTTCAGGTTTTTTTTGGTGATTCTGAATCAGAATTTGAAGGATTTGAATAAAATTCTTTGAAAATTTTGGATGTATTTATAAATTTTATGATGTGCTAAAATGGAAATAAACAAAAATTCACTAAATTGTGAGTGAAATTTTATTGAGAACATCAACATGCTGTCTTAAAAGCAGGGGAGGGGGACTTATACACGGGTATATATGGTATTTATTAGTCATCTGTAAATCCTTCTCCAATTAGTTTAACATTTTCTTTCCTTGCTGAAACTTTTAGCAGTCCTTTATTGCCATCTATTATTAAAATTATTAATCTGTTAAGAATTAATAATACACAGAATTTATTTAGTGTAGTTAACACTACACAATTATTTTTATTAAGTGGCTTTTATATTTAATCAAAAGTATTCATTTTCTATCATTTTAGGACTTCCTGTTCCTGTTTAATTTTTCCAATCACTCTAAAAATTTGCTTCAGATACAATAGTTTCATCTGAGATTTTGTTCATCTTAATCTTTATTATTAGTGATTTGATTTTTCGGTTTTGTTTGTAATAAAGAAAAGATAATTTGAATCATTTCTGTTGAAGTAAAATTCTGTTTTGCATATAATTTATTTATGCAATTTAAAAATGGAGGATAAATTCCAATATTTTGTTTTATATTTAAATTTTTAATCCTAAAAATACAATACACCATGATTAATGCAGAAACTTTATGATTAAAGTTTCTGTATTAATTGTGGTGTATTGACTAAAATAATTGTTTTCATGCAGTATGAAAATGGGAATCAAATATTTTCATCTCCCTGATTCAAAATATTCATCAGAACTCCATAGCAAGACTTGTTTATCCACCTCTATATGTTATTATTTTTCTTCACATCTTTTTAAAGTATTGTCTAATTGACCAATTTTAATGAACTTCCAGAACTCGTGAACAAAGGGTGCTTACTGCAAAGATTGCTTTGTTGGTCACTTTGAAGAATACCATTTTAGCCATCAGTCCTTATGGTTATTGGAGTCATTAGCTTTACTGACCACTCACTAAGTTAGGATCATTATTTAACATCTGTGTTGTGAATAGGGCCCTTGGTCTTTCCGCTACTAATGTCAAGTTTCATCAAGACTGAACTATTCATCTGACTGAATTCAAAGGTGTGCAGATTTGTTTTTCTACATTGTTATGAGACATGATATCTCATTTTCTTGCCTAGATTAAATAATATGGCAGTTTTAAAGATGAATTAAAAATGCTGTGTGGATGGCAGTCAAATCATCAGTTCCTGGTACCGCAGTTCTTTGTATTTATTTATTTTCATTCTCTTTTGATGGGAAAAAAAAAAAAATGTCATTACTATTTTATTTTAAACTAAATATTTTACTCCTAAAGAATTGATTTCAAAATGTTTTAAATCTTTTCTTTTTTATGCATATATACCTATCTACAGGTTTCATTTTATATAAACAATTTTTATAACATTTATTAAAAGTTGATATAATATACATGTGTATTATTCATTTATTTTTTTTTCCCAGTTTTCCCAATGCAGGGAAATCTACATTATTGTCAGCATTATCAAAAGCCAAACCTAAAATAGCCAGCTATCCATGTAAGTATATTTTTCTCTTTCCTGTATGCCTTCCTATTTAACCTCAAGTTCTCATTTGGTACTCTGTCACTATTGCAGTTAAATATAAAAAGGAGAGTTTGATTTTCTGTATGCTTTTTTGCTTTTACCCCTTACTTCCTTGTACGAAGTAAAAAGGAAGTATTGTAATCGCGAAAAGTTTCAGACAGCATATTTCAACGAAAATATCCATTTTGACCACTATAGAATGCAATTTAACAATATTTTTGCGTGATATTTGTACGTAAGGACAGATCAAAAGACTCATTTCCTCCAAAAAAATTATAAAACTGCTTTAAAACTAATTCTGAAGAGAATTTTTCGTGGCGTCTGTACGAACGTATGTACGTGTCTTGCATAACTCAAAAACGAGTAGCCTCAGAACGTTAAAATTTTGTATATAGGACTGCTATAACATGTAGATGTGCAGCTCGTATTTTGGTTGCAATCGGCCACACCAAATGTATATAAATATATTTATATATATATCCACTTTGTTACTCGGCACAGTGGTCTCAGTTTCTTTACTCTTATATGTTTGTAAATTGTACATTTTTTGCTTTAAAAATGATTGAATTATGTTGTTTATATCTTCCGGTTAAGGTTTTTATGCCTTTCGTAATTCTCGAAGCAATATTTGTACAATTATCAACAATTTAAAAGCTGTTTAAGTGCGGTTCAGTTTTAAATAACATGGCGGACATATTTGTTTACATTTGAAACAGCAGAATTGTAGATTTGTTGCCAATCTAGAGAGACTAAGCTTCGCAACAACAAAAATAATGCCTTCATTTATTATTGCGAATTAAATCATGCTTAATCCTTTCTGGAATTTTCGAGGAAATAAGTGTTTAAGATTTGCTTCGTAATTTTTAATACAGATATTTTGAGTTTTTATGTACTTTTGCCTTGTCGCAAAGTGAGAACTGAATTAATTGAATGAGAAATACTAAATCGTCTGTGAAAAACTGTTTCTTTCCTGTTTTGTTTGCTTAATTTCTTTCGTACATTGTTCTAGCTTTATTATAGTATTTGAATAAAACATGTGGCAATGATAAGATAATTCTTCAAATGATATAAATTTTGTGCATTGAGAGTGTCGTTATAGTAAACACATATAGTGAATTTTAAAGAGTGCATTTATTCCATTGTGCTTTATGCGCTGCCTACGAAGTACATTTTATTCAATCCAATCAATTTAAATGAAATTCAAGAAAAAAATGCATATAATTTAATATTCTGTACAAGGAAGTCATGTGGTGTACACATCAGATTTTTTCCTAATGTAATTTCAGTGTAGAAACTGTATTTTCTCACAAGAATTATTTTTGAACTAGTATTTTTATTATACAATTTTATCATTTCCCTCCAATTATACAATTAAATCGTGCTGTGTTTATTATAATTAATAATATCTGCAATATTATATGTGTCTCTTTCTTTTTATAGTTACGACCATTGAACCAAATGTTGGAATTTTAAAGTATCCTGATTGTAGGGAGGTAAGTCTACCTTTCTTTCTCCCCCTTTTCTGATTATGTTGGCTGGAAAAAAAATGGTATTTTTTTCTTAAAAATGCACCTTTGAAAACTTCATACTTATTTCATAACCTAACATTAAAAAAAAAGTGCCAGAAAAACTGGTAGAGATTACCTTAATAAGTAATACAAAGTGTTCCAAATAAAGATATATCCAGATCAAATTTCAGTGTAACACTTCTTTTATTGTATGTGTATATATAATATAGGTGTACGTATAATACACAGATATCCCTTATATAACATGGTTTTACTCTTACACATTAAGAAGTTTGCAGAAACCCTCATATAGCACAGCAATATGATTTCATTCTAACATATGAATATATATTCATTACCCCTCTTGTAACGCTTGATATATGTACACATTTTGATTATATGATTTTTTTCTAAACATTTACAAAATTAAGTTACATGCTATGCCATCATGTTTGATAGACAATAACAATCATTTAATTATACATGCAAAAATAAAATAAATTCTGGGAATACCTGCAATTTTTTGCATTGAAATTCATTTGCAGTTGAGTCATGCACATGAATCTTATGCTCCAAGTGTTCAGTTGATAGATTTCATAAATTATGAAATTATGATTTCTTTGAAAAACTTTTTGTAAGAAAGCAATTTTTAAAAGGAAATTTATTTCTTTGGAGATATAAATACAAGTTTTAAATCCTTTGTTAAAAAGAGAAGACATGATGCCGCAAGATGTCTTGGTTGAACATGAGTGAACAACACATAAAAATGGCCTTTTTAAAAATGGCCCTTTTGCTTGTGTTTAAAAATTGGAAGGCATTTAAAATTAAGGAAATTAAAAATTTAATAGGTTATTAAATTAATAAAGAAATTATTTTTATTTATATATTCTTAGTTTTTGTATTTGTTTTCATATTTAAAAATAGTGATATCAAAGAATGGTGCCATCTAAGAAATAAACATCTAAAAGAGGTAGATCACATACTACATCATTAGTTTTTCTAATATTTTTAAGTTAATTTATCATTATAACACTGTAAAATAATTATGAAGAACCCTCATTATCAAGAACAGTATAAAAGTCTCCATCATTTTTATTTTTAATATAGCACAAGCATTTTCTATATAAATATTTTGGGGATAATTATTTACATGTGCTTATCAAATTTAACACAATCTGGATTATTCTAGAGCCAAATGGTACTGGGTGATTAGCGCTACTGGTGAAATTTAGGATGCTGAAACTGTAAATCAAATGTACTTTTAATGAAACTGTTGATATTCAGTAAAAAGTATTACGAATGTGTGGCAGTTTAATAGTAACTGACATTTGAAGAAACTGTAAGTATGTAACTGACTGTATCTCAGTGATTAATATAGTTCTGCTCACTGTTGTGTGTGGATGCATGCTTCTTGTAACATGATTTTGTTGAATATGGAAGTTGTTAATGTTCTGAAGATAACTAGTAGTTTGATTTTATTAAGAAAATTTATCTCTATAATCAATTTGTTCTCCTCCACTGTAATGGCTTATGTTGTGACTGCTTGCCTAGTGCATTACAGTGAAGACTCATAAGTGAAAAATCAAGCACACATCATTCACTATAAGCATCTATGTGCATCCAGAGCATATGTCATCAGTTTAATAATTACAAATGTAAAATTATTGATAATGATACGTAAAAAAATAAAAGCCATAGGTATTTTTAAATCAGATTATGCACAAGTTAAACTGTAGTGAGCTAAGTAAGCCAGTAGTATATACTATGTCATTATATTGGAAGAGAACTAACTGATGATAGAGACTAATTCACTTGATAAAATCACATAGCTACTCATCTTCATTACATTAACTGGATGATTTTATATTCAACAAAAACAGGTTACAAGAAGCATGCATCTGCTACACTACTTAGATACAGTTAAAGTTACAGATACCGTTACATGTTTACAGTTTCTTTACAGTTAAAGGTACAGTTTATTAGTGCAGTTAAATAAACAGTTACAGTAAATAACAGTTCAAAAGTCCAATTAAGGCTAAACCACCACAAATGTTTGAGGAGGTTATTTCCTATTTCAAATTCCCATGCACCAGATCATTCCTGGCCTGGAATGGAATTCGAGAGAGTCAGCATGTTTACATTTAATAGTGAAGGATATATTTAATTATGTGTTGTAATTTTATGTTTATATAAATATAATGCATCTGTAATTGCACTTTTTAGACTAGCGTATTTAGCATAGAATCTACCAAGTCATATAGTTATTTTCAATATTACTCACAAATAATTAATATAATATTGGCATACTGTTTATAAACAAGCTTAAATGCAGCTGTAATAATAGCATACATTTTATTCTTCAGAGGGGGATCTAGACCATTTTTTATTGTATATTACAGTTGTATAGCTTTAGAATCGAAATTAAAGATAGCAGGATTGTAAACTAGATATGGCTTAATTATTAGCTTTATTCAACTAGATATGGCTAAAGCCTTTATCCTTTAAAGCTGATTATGATATACTTATGATGTAAAAGTTTTTTTTTCTATGTTTCCAATATGTCTTTAATTTTATACTTTACTGCCTCGTGAAGAAAGCATGCTTTTCTTTTTTTATAAATAATTTTGCCTCTCTTTTTAAAGATAAGTGCTGCTGATTTGCCTGGCTTAATAGAAGGAGCTCATGTCAACTATGGAATGGGTCACAAATTTCTGAAGCACTGCCTTCGTACAAAGGTTCTACTGTTTGTGGTAGACATTGGTGGATTCAGATTGAACCTAAATTCACCTTTTAGAGATGCTTTTGAAACAATTATGTTTCTTAACAGGGTATGATTATATACATACTTATAAATGCTATTTTTATTATGATAGTCATCTGATTTTTTTGATGGGGGGCTTTAAATTACTATCATGATAACTTTATGTTATCTTTTATATAGTATATGGAAATACATTCTCTTGAAATGATAGTTTTTTTTTTTTTTTTTAAATAAAAACAGTCTACATTAAATTTAAATAACTGATAAAAAAGAGCATGAAATGTTAAATAACTTTAAATCTACTGTATTATTAATAAGTAATTATTAATAATACAGTAGATTTATTTAATTAGTAATAACTTTTCTAATAATAAGATGTATTCATATTGTGCATCTGAAATAAATAAAATTTAATGTAATTTTCTGATTAAAAATCATCAAATTTTTATTTATTTCTTCGTATAAATATTTTGGAAATATTACATGTTGTGATGCAAATATCCCCTTCAGATTTGTTTTACTAACTTCAGATTAACTTTTAATACTGGTTCTCTGAAGCTAATAGATGTGTAAACATATGTTCCACTTTCTAAATAAATTTAGATTGCTCCATTAAACATATATTCCTCAAAGTAACTTTAGCTATGTAGTAATCAGGCACTAACCTCTGGCAACAAACAGAATCTAAAATGCTAATATTCAGCATTATATGTTCATTGAACATATATGTTAAAGAACTGCTATGGTTATGTACAGTTTTTAGATATGAGAAATAAGAAAAATTTGCATTATTCTTTGACAAAAAGAAGGTTCTTATCAGATTTAAAGATAAAATCATTTCTTGAGGGGTGTGGTAATAAATTAGTTATTTTCTCATTGGTTATTACATTTGTCAACATAAATTTGAGTGTGTTTTAATAAATTCTTAAATTTTGAAAGTTATATTTTTTGCAAAATCTTGCAATTATAAAATGAAATGATGTATTGGAAAGTGCATATTGTAATTTACCTTTATAAAATGTAATACCCTCATATGGTAAACCACATTGCTATTTTTTATTTTGCGCACTAATAAAGTAATAAATTTTTATCAGGTAACTGGGGAAAATTTCCCGCTCTTAAAGTAAATATGCAAAGAAGCAATTGATTAATTAAAACAAAAACTGAGTATTTCTGATATAGTCTAAAACTGAAATATTTTTAACATCAAATGACTACTGGTAATACATATCTAAAAAAACATTGTATCCATTGGCATTCATTTTGCAGTGTCTTTTATTATTACTGATAATACATAACACAAATGTATCTGTTAGTTAAGTTATATAATAGTTATATAATTTAGAATGCAATAAATATAAAGCATAAAAGTTTGTTTCTGAGTAACATGGATTAAAGTCTTCAAATGCATGCCAATTCTGATTCAATAGTGTAAAGCAGAGCATATATCCTTTTTTAACTCTTCAACTGCATTTGCATAACCTCTTGTTTTTAAATTGCTCATGCTGTTATATACTTTATTACAAATTTAATAACAAATGTTAAATGAGAAGACTAAAGAATTCAGAAGAATAAAAAACTAAAAAAGTATTCTCGTTCTAAATTCTGAATATTGTTGCCGATTCACTTTTGAGATGTAAAGACTTGTATTATCGAATAGGAAAGTATTGCATTTGTGCTTTATTAATTACTGCCCCCCTCCCGAAAAGTGTGATGTTTGAAGCCACTGCAGTTTGTCATTTGCATCTAAATTGTCTACAGCAATGGTCTGCTTTCACTATAAAAGTCCTTAGTGAATAGTTTGAGCTTTACACATGTTTGAAACTGTATGTTGGTAAACTTTGAGATTTGTGGATCAACCACTGTTGATGATAGCCAGCAAATCAATCTTTCTGGTTTGCTATACAGAGCTTACTTTTCAAGAATTTACTTCCCAAAAGACTGTTGTACGAAATTCACTTCCCAAGATACTGCTGTGCTAGATTCACTTTTACCAGTTAACAAATGGTCCACATATAATACTGTTTTCTTTTCATTTCTTCTTTCTTTTTGGTGAGAAAGCAGTCGCAAGTAAGCTATCAATAGATGCTGTTAGTCAACATGAATTATTTCATAAAATTCTGTTTGAAAATTTGTATGTTTTCCAAATGTGATCCAAATATAATAAATAATTTTGTTATTGGTGTTACTGAAGGCGATGTGTGATCAGAATCTGCTTAAATTGTATTTCAACATCATTGATGACAGAGATAACGTATCACATAGAGCAGTTTATCATCTGAAATTACTGTTTGGAACCATCTTTTTAATATGCCTAATACTAGTGTAACTTTGTTGAAAAACTTAACATTCTTTGTGTCCTATGTACTTTTTATTTAGAGTTTCAGCTCATATATCATTCTGACACAAGAAACTAAAGTTGGCTACCTCAGGTCTTGGTCAGTTTCCATAATGTCCCTTTTTTCCAGTTTTTGGTATTAAGTACATTCTTTCATATATTTTATATCAGTACCCTGCTATTCTACAGCTATTTTAACCACATTTTTATTAAATTCTTCAGTTTTCAGTATTATTAAAAAAACTAGATTTTGCCCCCTTAGTTATTTAATACTTTTAAAACTGTAAAATTTGTATTTATCTCTTAAGATTTGCTTTTTAATAAAAAAATTTTACACCTTTTATTGTACAAAATGCATGAAATCCTATGAAGAAACTTTGATGTAGGAGTAATAGGGTGTAAAACAATAAAATCACTTCTGTTTTTCTGGATTTTAAACTTCTACTTGCGAGATATAAAGTCTAATGGAAAGTTGAAAAACAAAATAAATATAAAGCTGTCTGATGATGTTATTTCAGTCTCATCACACATGCAGGTGTTCATTTGAGCCATATATGGTGTCTCTCTTTATCGTTGCATAAATGCCGACTCTTCTAAATTAACTGAAACAAAAAGTTTTCCATGTCATTGTTCAGTGAGACACAATTGTGTATAAATATGGTTAATGATAAAGTTAATTTATGATTTTGTAATTTATTTGTATGAATTTCAACAAGGAAGAGATGCTACAGAAACGTGTCGAAATTTAGTGACAGTTTTTGGTGGAGATGCAGTTTAAGATAGAATATGTAGCAGATTGTTAAAAAAATTTGAATCGGGTAATTTTGACTGCTGGTCAAATTCCGAAAGTCTGGAAATACTTTACATTCATTTCTATGGGACGAAAGACGCCTGCACTGCTGGGTCACATAAAATTTAAGAAAAAGTGGTTATCTGCTGCAGCGCCTATGTATGTAAAAAAAATTTTGTAAAAGAAGGACCTGTAACCTATCATAGCTAAGTTAAAACTGCATAATTTATTATTTTATTTCTAGTACTTTTGTTATTTTACTATCTCTGTCTGTTGAATTGGTTGGAAAGTTTCAGCCATATTGTATAAGAAAATTGCCACTGTATATGACATGTATTAATAGCGTCAAAATGTATTAAATACTGTGACATTATTTACTGGAATCACCTTGTACAAGTAATTGAATTTTATGTTCTTTTTCCGTGTACTCCGTTGAAATATAAAACTAAGTGAAATAAGACCATACATAAAGAACTTGATCTCTCTTAAACAGGCCTAAATTTTAGACTAAATTTTTAGAATTAAAGTATTATTATAACTTAAATTTTGATAATTAAAAGGGTGACCAATTTTTAGTTTAAATATTTTTTATGTATGCATATTAACTACAGATAGCTAATAGGTTGTGCGAATGACAATATATATATATATATATTTTAATATTTCTATTGAGAATTTGTAAAATAATCATTGTATAAGGTAGTGGTGGTACTAAAGTTTTTCAACTTTGTTTAGATGGTACCCTTTAGTTAAAAGGTTGGGAACTGCTGACCTAGAGTCTGATTATTTCTATTAAATTGTGTGTTATTTGATAGACAGACAAAAGAATAATCTTTTAAGAAAATACTTTGAATAATCAAACCTATAGCAATAGACATAAAGAGAGGGAGGGAGGGTGTATGAATTATTTTGTATTCGCCCAAGAATTAGCCTTGTGTCTCATATTTTTCTTAAATATGTTTTATATTTGATGCAAATATTTTTACTTTCCATGTAAATCTTTCTCAAAATAAGGATGTTATTGATATTTGCTGCCATGCAAAAGTAAAAAGAGTTATTGTTACACATTTAACCTTTTTTTGCCAAGTCATACTCGTTTTGGTTTCGTAAACAAGTACTGCTGCCTGCGATAGAAAAAAAAGAAAAATGCTGTTATTATTAAATTATTGAGATAAGATTGTGCGATATGTTTACTTTGTTGAATAAAAAAAGCTAATTCAAAATCTATAAATGAGCTGAAAATTTTTATACTAGTGTATCTTAGCTAATAATGCATGAATAAATCCTAAAATTTTTTAATTTAAGCTAATAATGCATAAGAACGATCTGGTAAAGCAGGAATAAAGTGACAGTGAATTCGAACTTACCAAACATTATAAATAATGGTATTAATAATATATGAATAAAATGGTATTAACTCGTAATGTTTTTCTTTTCATAATAACCCTCAGGGGGCTCACTTTTGTGAGTACGGGTGTGGCAATCCTGAGGTACCCTAGCCCTTCAGGGGATCATCTTCTTGGTGAGACGAGTGTCACGATCCTGGAGCCCCAGTGATCTATCCTCTTTTCCGTCTCCTCTTCTCTTGGCTGGAACTTTTTCCCTTCCCTTCTCCCTTGTGGTTTCTCTCTTCGAAGTTTGGGGCTCGTCACAAGAAACTGGAACAGCCCTTGTCTCTAGTTTTCAAGTGGCTAGAAAACTGCCCACGTGTTTGCCGTGTGTGGAGACCCGTGTCGCTGGAAAGGAGGGTCCTGGTAGTTGAGGGGCAAGGTACTGTCCCCAACACACTGCTTTGGCCTCTGCTTCAGCTAAACGGGAGGCACCTTAGTTGTCCTCACGGGTGTCAATCGGCTGGTCACTAGTCCTTGTGTCAGTCAGTGGCTTGGGGTCAAGCTCTCGGGAGTACCTGCTTTCGGGAAAGCCGACTGTGGGGCTTCAGTTTGCG